TCTGTGTGTTGAGAATGAAAACATTATTTCCCCAGCCTTGCGAAGAAGCAAGGCCGAGCAGTACCACTTGCTCTGTGCCCTCCAAGGCAGGCATCTGCTCCCCTGCCCTCACGAGCACCCGCTGGCACACCTGAGCCGTCCACGGCCTGACACTCAGATGGATGACTTTGGGTAGGAAATTCCAGCCCCAATTTCAACAACTAGTCATTTGTCCTATTAAAAAGACATTTCAGGGAGTGGCAAAAAGACGTTTTGGAGGCAGACCATCGAGCATAATTGAAAGCAGCACGAGCGTCTCACAGGAAAGCAGCATGTCTAGCATTGTCGCAAAAGCCTCTCCCCAGTGCCGGGCGTGGACCGAAACACCCCCTCTCACGGCCCACAGGCCTCAGCTGGCTGGGTCCAAAGCTTGGTTTTTGGGGGTAAAGAGCCTGGCAGACTGCTGGGCCAGCCATGAGGGAAGGGCTCTGCCCCCTCCCTGGCGTGGGCACATCCATTGTCCGCACAGGCCCACTGGCTGCCCACCTCCCGGCGCCCGCCCATGAGGTTGGCTTGGTCAGATATTCATGGGGCCACCACTGGCTAGCAGGGGGATGACTGTGTTGAAAGTTGTTGCAATTGGTGAGCCCGTTTCTCCCCCGTGGCCTTGGGGGCATATCAGGTTAAGGCTGGTCTGCCTAGACCCTCAGAGGAACTAGAACCAGAACGTGACCCTTAGGTCCAAGCCAGCTGGACCAGAAACGCCCTGCCCAGGGGCAGTCAGGGCTGGCTCAGTGACCAGAGCCCCCCGCTTCTGGGGAGGCCATGTCCTTGTGTGCCTGACTCCTGGCACTTAGACACCCAACCCTGACCACCTCCAGCACTTACTGGCTTCCACAGTATGGCCTGAGTGCCCCGATCTGCACACTCTGTGTTCCCACCGCCAACATCCCTTCTCCCGTGATCCCCGACTCCAGGTCCTCTGTGTTTTCTACCCGGGTTGCTTCTCCAGGGACCCGAGCAGACGCGGCCTGGCCACGCGGCTCTGCTTCCCTCCCCTTCACGTGGAATGTCCTGGCTGCAGCTCTCCAGAGTGTAAATATGGTCTTTGTAGAGATGAGATCGGGGCACTCACTCCACTTGGAGCCTTGGTGCCGCCGAGTTAGTGTTGGCCTGGCGCTCGGGGCAGAGCCGCCCTTCAGAAGGGCCGCCAAGGGAAACACAGCCTGGGCACTTCACACTGTTCCCGGGGAGAGCGCTGCCCGCTGCCACCGAAACGCGGTTTCATTGAGAGAGATGTCCATTCTTCCCTTCAGCATAGCTTTGTGGTCCTCTCCACAGGAGTTCTGGCTTTTAAAATACACTTTTGTGGAAATCATCTGTTAGTAAATAATCTCAGCTTCAGGTTTGGCAAATCAAAAACAAATACAGTGACTTGTTGGTGTGAGGAGGGGGGAGTAGGGAGATGATCAGGTTCCACCTTTCAAAGGAAAGAGAAAGAAACCTCGCTGGGCACCTGCCCCGGCCGGTCATGTGTGGGCACTCTTGTCCCTGAGACCCTCAGAACCGGCAGGGTCCTTTTCCATTTACAGAAGCAGCAGCTGAGCCTCAAAACAGGCCTGCCCCAAGTCACCAAGATTTGAGCCCACAGTCATCCCCCTGGCTCCACGTCGGGGATCCCAGCCCCAGCCCACACTTCCTCCACAGATTCCTGAATCAAAGTGAGATGAGTCCCCAGCCCTCGGTGCCATTATTCCTAGGGAACAGTTACAGATTTCCCTCAGAGCAGATTTTTTCCGTTTTAAAGGAGTCAAGTGATCATCTTCCTGCCGCCATTTTCCTGCTCCTCGGTAGCTTCTCTACTGCTGCTGAATTTCACTACTAACTTTTTTTTACCCGGATAGTTTGCATTCATCATTTACGTTTCAGGCCTTTCTCACTGGTCTTGCCTTTAATGTAAGAAGGAAAGGGAAAGTGTTTGAGGGCCGATTTGCTGCAGCTCCTCAAAGGGTTTCTGAAGGAAAACTGCTGGGAAGCGGGATATTTGGTGGGGACCCAGCTTCCTGAGTCTCATGGGAAACGAAGGGCCTGGAGACAGAGATGTCTCCTAACAACAAAAACACTAACCGTGTCCTATTCCACACCTACCCCGTGAGTCTAGAAAGCATGCCATACCCAGATGTCTTCAAGGGAGAAAACGCCAGATTTGTCTTTAAAAAATGGAAAACTCCTGCCTCATGACAGGCACTCAGAGAGTTGAAAAGAGGCCAAAGGGTAGCACACTATAAGGCGACAGGAGAAACAAATCATCAATTAAGGTTTTTAAATGGTGTAACAAGCTGACAAAGAAGTGTAGACGATTCACCTGCCTGCTCGGCCCAGACCCCTCTGGTGTGCACTCTGGTTGGGGAAAAGGAAGAGAACTTGAGGGTGGGGGCTCTGGGCCACCCAGACACCTGGGCTCCTAGACCAGGTCTGCCCCTTACCAGCCAAGTGACCTCGAGGTGCGAGGAAACTCCCCGGGCTCTGGTTTCCTCACCTGTACAGTGGGGAGACTCGCCCTCCCTCATGTGTGCGTGACTACCAGGTGGGCGCACAGCAGAGGCTCAGCACGCGCCGACTAGCAGAGCTTGTTACGACGGTATCATGACTCTCACTGCCCCAGCGGGGACGCACTTAGGGCTCAGGGTTCATAACCTGGGATCGGAGGGTCCATTTACCTTCTGCAATTGTCAGCAAAGCTGTATGTGTATTTTTCTGAATAGGGAGTATAGACCTTTCCTCAATTTCTGAAAGGGACTGGTGACCCCCAAAACATTTGAATACTCTTGTCTTTTAAAAAGAGCCCTTTGTGGAAACGCCGGAGGCAGGGCTGGACGGCTGATGGCACCCACACAAACCCTTCAGGCCCGCAGACATGGGGCCGGCCCGCCACTCTCTGGGGGCCTTGGAAGCCTCTCCCCACGTGGCGCCGTCTCCTAAACTGGCCCTTCTGTCTGAGAACTCCACAGGAGCCCTGAGGCAGCTCTGCAGAAAGAGATCTGGCTGCTCGTCCCGGTGGTGGGGGTTACTCTGCAGGCTTCTGCCGGATCTTCCGTCACCGGCAGGGGCACCCAAAGGCCTCCCCTGGGCTTCTGACTCGGGAAAGGGCTGGGCAGCCTCCCACGCCCACTGCTGCGCGCTGCTCCAGCTGTCAGGGACAGACTCCCATTCTCTGCTTGGTCCCCGGGGCTGTGGGCCGAACACAACCAGAACCTTTTTCTCTTTCATGAATGCTCTGGCCTCTCCGTCCCCAGGATGGACAAGGCACGAGGCAAAGAAGGAAGCAGTGGCTGGTGCCACATCTGTGGTGGGGTGGGGCTGGGGCTCCTGCCCCCACCCTTGCAGGGAAAGAGGGCTGGGCAGGAGGCAGCCAGGTGAGAAGCCTCTTCCTGGAGGGTGCTGGGAGGAGCCCCGGGCTAACCGTGAGCTGCGCGCAGGCGTGTGGCCTTTCTTCCCAGTGCCACATGGGGACTGGGCGACAGGCAGCAATGCCCTGCCTTCCCGTCCCATTGGGCTCCAGGTGGGGATGACCAGACTCTGCCATGGGGCCTCAGGAGAGCTGAGGTGGCAGCTGAGGTGTCAGATCAAAACTCCCCAAATTTGCCAGTTTAACCATCACGTGTGGGCTAATCAAGCTCCGGCGGCAGACAGGAGACTTTGAGAAGTTTGACCTGGGTGGGAAAAGCCAAGTGCACCTGCCACGGACGCCAGCGCCACCGCCCTCCCACACACACGAGGGAAAGGGCAGGATTCCCCAGAACTCGTGCTGCGAGAAGGCCAGGAGGCCAGCTCCTCCCTCGCTGGGCATCAGAGCAGCCGCCGCCCTGCCTGAGCTTCCGCCGCCCGGCAGAGAGCCTGCCAGCGCTGGCAGCGGCAAAGCGCTGCTGAACACAAACACAAATTAATAGAAAGAACAAGATGGGCTTTTCCTAGCGCTCTGATCTTATCCACCCTTGGTCTGGGGACTTCTGTGTAGAGAAACGTGGACATTTTATTTCTTTTCAAGCAGCACGTCTATGCTAGGCCTTGGAAACCTTCCTCAGATCTGTAAGGAGAAGCCCAGCTCATGCGGACCTGGGTGACCCCAGCTTCTGCTCTCCTGCCAATGTGACACCAAACACAGGGCGCCGTGAGGTGAGGGTGGGGAGCCTCCCAGACTCCTAGAACCCGAATCCTCAGAGTCGTGCCCTCCTCTGTGAAGTCAGAGGATCTCGGACCGCCTCTGGTGTCAGTGTCAGAAGGGAGGCAGGATCAGGGGTGTCTCAGACACAGGTGGCCAGCTTCATGGACCGCCTGTCAGAGGATGACATGGGCATGGGAGCTTCCTTTGGAAAATGCACAGATGAGGTGGAACTTGGTCATTCTACCCCCAAAGATGTGTGGAGACTGGTGCCTGAATCCCAGAAATATCCCAAAGCCTCTGGCTACATGGTCAGATTCAGGTTCCACCTGGGCTCCTGTGATCCCAGGCAAGTCACAGTCGTCACTGTGACTGAAAGGCAAGTGTGGAGTCAAGGGAGGCGGCCCAGCCAGTCTCGGCCAGGCCGTTGGGAAGAGCAGCCAGCCGCTCACCAGTAGGAAGCCCTGGAGAGGCACCACATGCCGGACACTGCATGTGTTTTAGGGAAGCACATCTCTTCTGGCCAATGTGGGCAACTTAAAAGAAAATCACTCCAGGAACTCCACACACATGACTCAGAATTCTTACAATCTCTAGGGAGGTAAACATGACAAGAAAAACTGAGGGCGTGTCCAGGTAAGGAAGCCTCCACCCTGCAGGAGTCAGGGGTGACAGTGAGCGCGGAGTCCAGGGCCCCTGACCTCTAGTCGGGGCTCTTGTTTTACATCAAGTATCCCGCCTGGCACTGCAGGCCTGTGGCTCCCAGCCTGCAGAGGTTGCGCCTGCTCAGGGGCAGTGGAGGTGGGTGAATGTGCTTGGCAGTAGGCAGGTCTGTGACTGCACGTGTCTGTGTCCCCAGGCCCTTGGAGAGACTGCCTGCAGGCCCTGGAGGATGGCCACGACACCAGCTCCATCTACCTGGTGAAGCCGGAGAATACCAACCGTCTCATGCAGGTGTGGTGCGACCAGAGACATGACCCCGGGGGCTGGACCGTCATCCAGAGGCGCCTGGACGGCTCCGTCAACTTCTTCAGGAACTGGGAGACATACAAGGTGAGAGCCAGGGGCGTCTGGGCTGCCCACAGAGCGGCTGGCCCATCTAGAGAGGCCCGTCTGGCCAGTGAAAGAGCCGTGGCAGGGGAGGGAAGGTGTGTGCTGACCTGCGAGGCTCAGCATGAACACCTGCAGCAAGAAGGATTTAGAAATGCCGCTGTGGGGAGCATCTTCCCCCACTGGGGCTTCTGGGAGAGAAGACCTGTTGTTGCTGCCCCAAGGGTGAAGATCAGGCTTCCAGGAGGGCCTCCCAATGGGCCATGGCAGGGAGCCTGCATCCTGGGACCTAACACCAGGGCCCATGGCTGGGGCCTCGCTCCAAAAGCACTGAAAGCTCATCCCGAGGTCAGAAAGGCTGCGTGGGCTCTGCAGTGTCTCCCTCGCTCCCCTAAACAAAGAGGTGGTACCAGCACAAAGTGCCAGGCCGGGCATGGTGAGGCCAGTGCTCCCGCACTCCTGTGCTCAGACTCACATCAGCCTTCAGAGGGAGGTACCACTCTGGACCCCACTTACAGATGGCCAAGCCAACCAACCTGCTCAGGGGGCCATAGCTGGCAAGTGGCAGAGGGCCCCCAGATCCCCAGGCTCTGACACTAGGCCTCTGACTAGCTCAGCTGTGACACCTGCCGTGCCCTCTCCTGGCCTCCTGTGCTGGCCACGCGCCAGCCCGCCTCCTGAGCAGCCCCATCTCTGCTCATCCTCCTCAGGCCTCTCATGTAGTGGTGTCTGAGGACTCGCTCCTTAACTCTTCCCTCCTCACCCTGCTCTCTCTTAGAGGCCGTGGGGCACAGCCATTAGGACTGGCTGCTGAACTCAAGTCCCACCTCTCCCCCGGGTGTGCTATGTGGCCCTGCACCTCGCTGGGCCTCAGTTTGCTCACTCTAGGGAGGGCAAAAATGGAGCCTGGCTCTCAGAGGATTCACAGAACAACATGTGGCGAGACCATGAGGGCTCATAAACACTAGCCTTACTGGTCGTCCAGCAGCCATTCCCAGGACTCCACTAGCTGCCATGCAGACGCCACACACATGTCAGGACACAAACCTCTAGGCTGCAGACCTGTGAGGGAGTAGGGGGCGTGTGCTGGAGTTTGCACAGGCCCTGCGCGCAGCCCGCATGGAGGAGACTGGAGCACAGAGAAGGGAAGGGCCTGTGTCCTGCCAACTGCGCCATGTCACACGTGTCCCTACGGAAAGCAACAAAGCTCCCCACGTGACAGGAAGGACCAGGGGTTCATGCCACGCCTTGCTCACAACAAGCCCCTCTAGGTAGGCTTGAATGACGATGATAGGCTCAGAAAGGCAAAGCGACTCACCCAGCCAGTGTCCAGGGTGGGAGGCATGGAGCCCCACCTGCCTTCTGCTCTGCCTGTTCCAGACCCCACCCCTGGCACCGGGCCCTACAGCTGAGGGCGCTGCCTGTCCCACACTGATGCGCCCCTCTGTCTCCCCAGCAAGGGTTTGGGAACATTGATGGCGAGTACTGGCTAGGCCTGGAAAACATCTACTGGCTGACAAACCAAGGCAACTACAAGCTGCTGGTGACCATGGAGGACTGGTCTGGCCGGAAGGTCTTTGCGGAGTACGCCAGCTTCCGCCTGGAGCCTGAGAGCGAGTATTACAAGCTGCGGCTGGGGCGCTACCATGGCAATGCTGGCGACTCCTTCACCTGGCACAACGGCAAGCAGTTTACCACCCTGGACCGAGACCATGACGTCTACACAGGTAGGGGCAGTAGGGCAAGCCCAGGTGGGGAGGAGAAGGGCCTGAACGTGGAAAGACCCCAGGGCCAGTGGCCCAGCCTGCTCCTGCCCCTGCAGGTCCACTCTCCCCCGTGGCCTACAGGCCCCCTTGCAAAGCTGAGTCAAAGTGGCCTTTACAAGAAGGGAAAGTGCAAAAGGTGCAGAAATTCTGGCGGAGGCCCTCTCTGAGCCACACCAGCACACCGGGTGCAAGGCGGCCCCCCTCCTGCAGTGCGGCATCCTAGGGCAGGTGCTCACCCTCTGGCCTCCATGTCCACACTGGCAGTAAGGACGACAGCTCCCTTACAGGAGAGAAAGTCCGAGAGTGTACCTGAAATGCTTTGTCTGGGCTCCTTCCCGTGGGCCTTTTCCACAGGTACCTTTATTGCACGGACAGATCCTCCTTGTACCCTGGGGTGACATCCCAATAAACCCACAGAAAGTTGAAAATACCCAAAGTGGAAATGCTGATGGGGCTGTGGCTCACCGTGGCTCCCAGCATCTCGGAGAATCCTACCAGGCTTTAGGGAAAGTGTCTGTCTTGCACCTTAAAGTGGCAAGTCCTAAGTGGGGGACTATCCTGTGAACCCCATCCCTAGGGGAGCTTTCGAGCAGAAACCCGTTAAGAAAGGGGAGGTGACTGGCCAAAGAGAAGGGCAAGAAGGTGGCGCCTCAGAGCCGGTCAGCCTCTGGGGACACAGGGTCTGTGACCACATTTCTTAGAGCAGTCATGAGGAGGGAGGACACTACTCTACGGTCCCAGGCCTGCCCAGCAGCACAGTTAGGGATGGCCAGGACGTGGATCCTTGTTCCTGGAGACAAGCTTCCCAGGGCCTCCCTCCTCTGGCATCCGTGGGCCTCCAGCAGGCAGGCTGTGCATGCCGAGGGTTCACTCCATTCTCCAAATCCCACATGGCTGCCTGGTCCTCATGGCCTCCCCTCATGGCCCAGGGGAGCCCAGGAAAATTTCTGGGCAAGCCTGGGGCTTGGTCCCACCTCAGCCTTCTGCCTCAGCCTGCCTGCTCCCTCCTCACCCTACTCCAAGGTCTGGGCAACCCAACCCACAACCGTGAGTGGGGCAGCCCTTCCCAAGCTCCCTTCGTAGGCCTGATCAGGAAACTGGGGGCTCCCCTTTTGATTAGGAGCAGCCCCAGCTGGCAGTGGCTCCTCTCCCCGCCTTCCTGGGGAGGAGGCACCCCGCACGCCTGCCTCCACCTTGCCCATGCTTTTGCTGTTGTTCTAAACTGCTCATCCCCGCAGCCCATTTCAGCATGCCGTGTCAGTGCCAAAAGTGTTAGGAAAATTTTTTTCTTCTGTGAAATAAGTTTTAAAAATATTTAGCTAGAGAGCAGGCCAGGGAGGAATAGAGGAGCACTTCCCCTTAAACACTTTCTTTGTCATTCTATAAAGACCCTGGCCCAACACTTTCCACTCCTAAATATTCCTCAGAGAAACTCCTTGGCCTCTCACCGCCCACCTCTGGCCATTTCCGCTTTCTACCAGATACGTGGGGTGAAGTCCTCCCCTGCTCCTCGGCACCAGGTCCTGGACTTGGGGCCCGAGTGGGTGCCCTCACACAACCCCCTCAGTTCCGGGGGTGGGGGGTGCGGTTGGGCATTCTGTTTATCTTCATTTTACAGTGACAACGCAGAGGCCCAGGGAAGTTCAGTCACTTCCCCAAGGTCACAGGGCTCATTAGTCAGAAGGCCCAACCCCGAGGCAGGTCTCAGCAGGTCCAAAGCCCAATCCACCCTCAAGCTCCAATTGCCCCCCAGAGAAGGTTCTGCTGAGGTCCGGGAGCACAGGAGGGACACGAGCCAGACCCCCTCCTCCCTGACCCTGTCCTGCCTTGCCCTCCTGCAGGAAACTGCGCCCACTACCAGAAGGGAGGCTGGTGGTACAACGCCTGCGCCCACTCCAACCTCAACGGGGTCTGGTACCGCGGTGGGCACTACCGGAGCCGCTACCAGGATGGAGTCTACTGGGCTGAGTTCCGGGGAGGCTCCTACTCGCTCAAGAAAGTGGTGATGATGATCCGGCCCAACCCCAACACCTTCCACTAAGCCAGCTCCCCAGCCCCCTCCGGCCCCCTCCAGCCCCGCCAGGAGCTCCTGGCCACGCTGGCCCCGCAGGCCGCCGAGGGGCTGGGAGGCCTGGGAGGCTGGATTCTGTTTTCCCAAGTCACTGGTGGAACTGAGCGGACACAGTATTCTCTGTCCCCGCTAGTTCTCTTCACACCATCCAGACAGGACAGACCGACAGACAAGTCTTTCCTTAAACAAATGAAGTCCCTACAATAAAAACACAATGCACATGTGGATGAGCCTGCCTGGTGCACGCGTGTGGCCACACGCACATGTGCACACAGAGCCACACCGCAGGCGCGACCCAGACACCTGCAGGCATACCACACGCCCCCCCACCCCCACCCCATGTCCACGCCTCACGACCACCCTGGTACCGCGATTTCTCTCTTAGGAAAAAACATTTCATTAGCATGTGTCACTCGCCTCCAAGAGCAGGCCCGCCTGCACAGCTCCAGCTCACGGGAGCAGCCACGGTCTCCACCCCCCTGGGTTCTTCCGGGAATGTTACAGTGCTTTCTCGCGGGGGTCCTCAGCTTCCTCGCTCAGTAACCCCTTTCGGCACCTAATTAAACTTCAGTCTTGCCTCCCTCTACACTGCTCCACTGCTCGCCACCTCAGGACTCCAGCCTCCATGACCCCTCGGCCAGGGGGTGAGCCCTTGCTGCGCCCCCAGCGCTGGCCCTGCTCCAGGCATCTTGCTGCTCCCTGCTCAGCTTCCCCTGACCATTTCATTCACGTTATCTTTCTACATCTTTCCTCAGATTCCTCAGCCTCTGAGTAGGGGACAGTCAGGGCTCCAGTTTTCTGGTCAGGAAAGGGACGGCCAGGCCCCAGAGCTGGCCGCTGGCCACAGATAATGTATCGCCGTTGTGTATTCCTGCTCACTTGTAGCCAACATGTCATTTTAACCTTCACAGAGATAATAACCTACCTTGCCCAGGAGACACTCAAGTGAAGACACATCACTGGTTGTCAGGGCCCCCAAGTGGCTACAGACCAAAGGCCCTGTTGTTCTCAGAGTCCACAGCCCTCCCCAAACCACGGTCCCCCAGAGCCCCAGTGCCACAGAAATGAGAACTGGCCCCTTCTGGGGAGTAACTCAAGAATCAGGGTGCAGAGTCCCTCAGCTAGTGCACAGAGGGTGGCGGCTGTCAGAGGTCCTCGGGCCTTGCTGGAATACCACACACTGCCCAGCAGGGAGCCAGAGACAGTGAAGAAGGCAAGACCCTCCCAGGGCGTGTGGTCAGGCGTCGAGACGTGGGCATTGGTCCTGGCCAGGCCTGGTGTGCGCCTATTACCTCAGCATCCTCACCAAGTGTACCATGTAGCATGTTTTGTGTATATAAAAGGGAAGGTTTGTTTTTTTAATATATTCCCAGATTATCCTTGTATTGCCACAAATCTGCAATAAAAGCCGTGAGTGCTACACGGCACCTCTGCCCTGTGCGACACTGTTTCCAAACGCCCCCCTGGCATCCTTCCCCAGGGCCTCTCGAAGCAACACCAGGAAGCGGCTCACACCAGGGACACACACTGGGCTGTGGTCTCCGCCACATCCTGGGCAGTTCCGCTGTCGGGCCTAACCCTCACCCAGGGTGGCTCATCCTCCTCACCTCTGCCAGGTCCTGGCTGCCCTGGAGGCCCCTCGGCAGACAGTCAACCCTGAAACATCCCCTGAGTCTGATCCCATTTCACTGGATGGCGCCTCCTACTCAGTTGCTCAGGTCAAAAGCAAGGACTCCCTGCCCAGGCCGCGGGAAGTCCTCTTATCTAGAGGCGACCCCCAGACTAGGAGCCAGGGCAACCAGCCCCCACACCTGCTGCCAAAACCACCTTCCTGTCAAGCAAGTCTGGGGGGGAGGGGCCACGAGGCAAAGTGGAAACCCCCAAACCGTGAGGTAAAAGGCAACGACATATTACTAAAGAAAACCCCACCTACCTACCCTCCAATAAAACAAAGCCAAGACGAAAACACAAATATTGTGAGAAAAAAACATCGCAACATAGATGGTAAATGCAGGGTGAATATTCAAGCTACACTCAACGTTCCTTCAATGAAGAGGAGACACAAACGCCGTGAGATGACACGTCAGAAGCCACACAAAGAGCCAGCAGTCAAGAAACGGTGTCTCAGTCGCACCCAGTGGGCGCGACACAAGCTTAGGCCATTGGTGGCCCCAGGCCAGGGGCAGTGACCAGGGCCTCTGCACACCGAGGAGGGGTGGAAAGCGCGTGGGGGGATGGGGGGGCTGGGGGTGGGGAGGTATTGGTGGGGGGAAGGTGAGAGTATCGGCCGGCGGGTATTTCAGGAGCAGTCTTACCACGTGCATATAGAAACTTGAAAGGCACAAGGCCCTGAGGACCCAGCGGCCCCTCTTTCTAGTGCCGCAGCGGTGCTGCCATGTGCACTGACCCAGCAAAGCCGCGGGGGGGGGGGGGGGTAAAGAGGGCCGATGTTTCTTGACCCCTACCACGAGCTCCGACTCGCAGGGGCGTCTCTGCGTGACCCTCAGAGCAGCGCTGCCAGGGTGGGGTGGGCCTTCTTCACAGAGGAGGCGGAATCGGGGCTCCGTCAGGCCGCCGGCAGAGGCGCCCCACAGCATGCACGGCAGCTGACGCAGGAGGAGCCAAGGGTCGGCACAGTGCGGGTTCTTGACGCCTTTCTCCCAAGCCCCCTCTTCCAAAGCCAGCTGTAGGGGTCGTGGTGGAATGCGGGCGCTACGGGGTGAGAATATCTCCCCTTGGCCCAGGCCATAGACACCCGCCCCACAGCCCTGGAGTGGAGTGGGGTGCGTAGGAGGTGACAGGAAAGGAAAACTCGCGTGGGGAGTGGGGCAAGAGGACAGTGGTGCTCCCTAAGAGGCGGCATTGAGCAGGCCCCTCCCCCAAATACTGAGCAGAACTGAAAGAGAAACCTCGGGATTCCGAGCCCCATGGCATCAGGAGACTTCAGTGCTCACAAACCAGGGCGCTCTCCGGCAGCTCGAGGGGTCTGTCCTGACTCCCTCAGACCAGCTCATCTAGTTTATGGTCTGGAGAAGACTCGTGATGGAGGGCTGAGAAAGCCAGCTAACAGGGCTGAACAAACAGGGGACATTTAAGTGCAACAAAGTGTTAAGCAGGCCCTTGCTCTGACTCGGTCTGACCTAAGGTCCGAAGGCTAAGGACAAAATGACACGGGCCCCACGATCTAGGGTTAGTGCAAGAGCACCCTGGCAGTGGGGTGGCCCCAAATTGGGCAGGGGCTGCAGCATGAGCTCACTGACGCCCCCAAGACTGTCAAAATGCAGGAAAAACATGTCCCTCCACCATGACCACAGGGAGGGTGCAGCCCCCCTACCCTAAGTGATGTGAGAGGGGCTTCAAGGGACTGTTCCAAGCACAGGCACTACTGTCGGGCTCACGTCAAGTGTAAAGCCAGGACACCGCAAGGAGGATGGGCAAGCGCTGCAGGGCGCAGGGCAGCACAGGGGCCCGGAGCCCTGGAAAGAGTCTCGAGTCATCAACTGGAGAAACACTACCCTTTGGGGAGTTGAGTCAGAGGCACCCGGAAGGGAGACTCTGAAGTGGCCTCCTCTGTTCCATCTCAACCCCAAGGGCCACAAACCCCAGTAGGCAGAGGGGGGAGCAGCTGGGCTGGGAAGGCAGGGAAGGCGCTGCCCGCCTGCCTCCCCCACCCAGGCCTCCACATCTGGGAACCCAGACTTCTGATGACGACGCTGAACTGTCTGGAAAGGCGAGACTGCCAGAGGGGGCTGGACTCTGGTGCCTCACAGTGGCAAGGCCGCGGGGGGTAGAACGAGTCCACAGAGCAGGCTGGAAGGGACACTGGAGGAAAAATAAAGTTGGTTTCTTCTTACACCTGATGGAATCCAGCGCACAGAGGAGCTGGTTACATAACGACACGAGGAACCTCCGGAGCCCGTGCACAGGGCCGCAGCTGGGCCTCACGCGGGCCGAGCACCCGGAGCCATCTGGGGAGTCTGGAGAGCCGTCAAGAGGCAGGGCAGCCGTCCCGCCCGCCACTCTTTCTGTCTTTCTGCTTCTTGCTGTACACCATCTGCTCTCCTGAGCTCACGGGCCACCCCAGCGTGACCGCAGCACAGCCACCCGGCCCCTCCCCTTGCCGGCACTGACCCCTGGCCCGAGGACCCTGCTGGCCAGCGCGGGTTGGTGTCCATCTCTCATCACCTCTGGCCTTGGAGCAGGTTCCCAAACATCAGAGTTCAGCACACTGGGAATGCTGGGGGACATTCCCAGGTTCCCAGAAGATGAGTCTTGGGGCAGGGCTGCTCCCCAAAAGGTGTCGAGACTGGACTCCAGCTGCTGTTGGTCCCACCTTTTGCCATATTTGGGGACTGTGTTTGGCTAGCTAGAGGGATTCCATCCCCTGCTCCCCTGCTGACCCTGGCCCTACCCCAGAAAGTACATCAGCCCCCTCAAGCCCGGCTGTGTCATGACCACGGCCGCTGGCTGTGCTGGTCCGGGCTCCTCCTGCCCTTCCTGGGCGCACTGAGCTTCAGGTCATCGCTGTGGAGGCTGCAGGCAGCGAAGTGCCCACTGCTGGGTCTCCCCGGCAGCGCAGGGTACACTCATACCAGGTACCCTCCGTGGTAGCCCCCCACGGGCCTCGTCACTCTCACGGTAGCCCTGAGGTGGGCTCTGTAGTGACCCTCCTTCAACTCAACGGAAGTTGCAGCTCAGAGATGGGCCTGGCTTGTCTAAGGATGCACAGCCTGGGCTGCTCAGCATTTGCACCCCAGGGTCCAGCTCCTGAGTCCCTGCCTCTGCGGCATGAGATCACTGTCCCCAGGGATGACATGGAAGCACTATGGGCTCTCTCTGAGGGTCCTCCCTCACCCAGAACCACTGAACATCTGGCCTCTTGGGCAGCACGGAGCCTTCCTGCCTGCAGACTGTGTGTGAGGTGGCCGGCAGGCCTGCTGCGCAGAGCAGGTTCCAGGATGCCAGGGAGTCAGCTTCCCTTTATCTCTGAGCACGGGACACTAAGAGGCGGCAGTGATGGAAGAGATTTCGCAGTTCCCTGCAGCTTCCAACCCTTTGCCAGGGCTTGAGCAGCTTGCCCTGCCTTTCCCCTTTCGCTGCGGGACTAGAGAGCCCCGACAAGCTTAGGCTAATCCCTCGCCTTCGGCACTGGGAGCTTCCCACTCGTGGCTGGTCTGGCTGCCACCTCATGCACAGGTTCTACCTGGCCGGGCCCCGGCCATGTCACCCGGCTAGCGTCTCTGCCTTGAGGGCTCATTTGCTCACTCCCGTCCTCCCACCTCACGCCTGGGGCTGGCGTCTCTCTGCTCCCAGAGTCAGGCCTGAACCAAGACCGTGGTACCAATTCCCCCGAGACACTCAAGTCTCTCTGCCTCTCTGACCCGGGCATCCTGGGCCAGCTCAGCCCACACATGGGAGCCCAGACGCAGATAATCCCTGTCAGCTGCAGAGCAGCTCCGAGTGCTTCCACACGCAGTGTCTCCCGGTGGGCGGGCTGCTGGCTGGCCCGCCCCTGCTGTCAGTGGTCACAGTGAGTCTGGCCTCTCGGGCTGATCACCCTCTGAACCCTCCTGAAGCTGAGGATCTCACGCTAAGAGGCGAGGGTGGACAGACCACGTTGGTCCTGAGCCTGAGCGGAGCTGGGCGGTGCCAGAGCAGAGACCGGTAGTTCCTGTAGGGGGAATGGAATTAGAATTCCCTTCAGGAGCCACGTGATGACAGAGGCCCACACCCTCATCACCAGAGAGGGAAACAATTAGAAGCAGCACGCAGCCTGCTCTGCGCCCGGAATGCTGACCGAGCCCCAGCCAGTGTGCCCAGGCACCGATTTCTGTCAGCTTCCTCCCCGCCTCTGCACAGCGATCAGGGCGGCCCAGGGTGTGCTGGGGACACAGGAGAGGGAGTGAGGATGGTGCTTTGGGGCCCAGAGGCAGGAACAGGGGTGACCGATGGGCTGGGTGGGAGCCTAACGGCCTGTTGTCTGATCAGGGGCCTGGAGCCCAGGGCCCGTGTGTTTCAGGTGCAAACGCAGCAGCTCCCCGGCCAAGAGCATGTGGTAGAGAAACATGTCCTAAGACCAGATGCCATCTTGCACAGAACTTCACTACAAATAAAAGTGGCTGGCAACATCTAGCACTGGAAACAGTGGTGGTGACGGCCACCCCGTCAAGGGGCCCTTGGCGGGACCCACAGAAGTCAAGATACCTTCGCCCCCCAAGCCCACCTGCTGTGCTGGCTGCCCTGGCAGGTGAAGCGCTCTCGGGCGACACCATCAGAGGGAAACAGCGGCAGCATGCTCAGCATTTATCAACTGGGGGGTGGGGGGTGGGATGGAGAAATGAACGCAGCTAGGCACCCCCAACCCCACTGACCACAGCGAGTCTGGGGGGCCACAGAGCGGTAGAAAGAGGAAAGGAACTTCACAGGTGCACCACCAAACAACTTGACCCTGGAGTGGAACCAAAGGGAGGCACAAAACGAGCAAAATGTTTCCACTTTGGAGAAAAAGCAGGGTATTATCCACCCCCCACCCCGTACACATGTGCGTGTGTGTGTGTCGCGCGTGTGGAGGTCCAGGACCACCCACCAGCCATTAACAGTGGCTGCCTCTGGGGAGCAGGAGAGGAAGGCGGGGATTTTCGCTTTTCACTTTATAGCTTTCGCTTTAGCGTGACTGAGTTTTACGACAGTTACTTTTGTGGTTTCGAGTCTTGAAGGAATGAGTCGCCCAGGTGTGCGGGACGCCTGGGCAGGCCCTGGGCCCCGGAGGTGGGGACACACCACACCTGGAAGCCCAGCGCACACCTGACTGGGGAGCTGCAGTCTGTCTCCCTGTGGGTGACTTTCTGGGCCCTCTCAGGCCTCTGTCAGCGTGTCCCCAGGCACCTATCTTCCTTCAGAGCTGCAGGAATTCCTGGCCTCTCAGAGAACTACCCCTGTCCTGGTTCTGTAGGATTTCCTCCCCTCAAATTAGCTTCTGACAGGGACCCAGCGCTCCTTGCTGCTCTTGTGTGTTGGGTTTTACAGCTGATTTAGTCCCAACAAACACAGGGCAACAAAGGAACAACGTGAGGCCGTAGCAAAGGCTGGGGTGCGCTGCTGTGGGACAGACCAGCCCTAAACTCCAGC